TTTGATACAATTAATCATAAGTTGCTTCTTTCAATTCTTCATTTTATAGGTTTGGGTGGTAATGCTATCAATTTAATAAATAATTATCTAATTAACCGAATACAAAGAGTCAAAATTGATCAATGTTTATCATTAAGTAAAGTCATTAAAATGGGAGTGCCACAGGGATCAATTTTAGGACCTCTTTTGTTTACCATCTACACAAGTAATTTTCCTAATTGCATAACGTACTGCAACCATCACATGTATGCTGATGACACCCAGCTGTACCTTTCATTCGAAAGTAATAAGGTAGAGGAAGCTATGCAAAAAATCTCAATAGACCTTAATTCTATAGACGAAATTTCAAAAAAGCATTCCTTGTTTTTAAACCCTGGAAAATCAAAGGTACTGCTGTTTGGTAACAAAACAATTATAAATAATTTAACAGGGAATTTAGATTTTAATTTGTCCATCGAAAATGTTCAGTTACCAATTGTTCAAAGCGCAGTAAATCTAGGTTTATGCTTTGATCAAACACTGAGATTTAAAATGCAGATTTCCAAATACATACAACGTGCATATACATCTTTAAAAATGTTATTTCCACATAAAAACTATTTATCCATTAAAGTAAAAAAAATGCTATGTGAAAGCTTGGTGATATCAAATTTTTCTTACTGTGCAGCAGTTTATTATCCGTGTTTGGACGTGGTAACAAAAAACAGAATTCAACGTATGCAGAATTCTTGCATAAGGTATGTGTTTGGAATAAGCAGAAGAAATCACATTTCTCACAAACTTAGGGACTTAAATTGGTTAAACATGGAAAATTGGTTAAAACATAAAACTCTATGCTTTTATCATCAAGTATTAAAATCAAAATCTCCTACTTATTTATCTGATCGAATTACTTTTAGGGAAGATATACATAATATTAATATTAGAAGAAAAGATTCCATAACAATTCCGTTTCACAGAACAACATTATATGAACGGTCATTTAGTTTCATGATTGCCAAGCTTTATAACTTTTTACCAGACAATTTTAAAGCTCAAAGTTATAGGATGTTTAAGAAAGAACTTTCAATTTTTTTAATGAACAACCAATAAATTAAACATGTCATATTTAGAAGGAGATAATTCACTTTATTTTTATTCTTTTTTTTTTTTTTTTTTATTGATGTACGTAAACCTAAAGAACCCATTGTGGGTTATAACAGGTACATTTTGTTTGTTTGTATATAAATATATAAATAAATGTAATGTGTAAAACAATGTGTATATATAACTGTATAAATAGATAGAATATAAATATAAATATGTAAATAAATGTCTCGTTTATATCACAGATCTTTCCTAGTACTAATTATATGCTGGACTATCATTTTTTTGAATTGGCTGTCAGTCATGTTTTTGTAGCTCTCGGCCAGTCTTCTCTCCCCCATTTTGGTTTTGGACTTTAGCAGTCTGTAAGTGTCCCTTCCCCTTGTATTATAGCTGTGGAGCTCACTATTCATTTTGGCATTCAAGCCCCGTGTTTGGTGGACTATTTTTAAGGTCTCAGTCTGCCTCAGTTCCTCTATGTTTAACAATTTTGTGCTTTGGTAGACATATGCAGTTGACATGTCTTTTTTTAGATTGTACAAGATTTTTATGACCTTGTTTTGTTGTCTTTGTAGGTAGTTTAGGTTAGATTTGTCTCCTGTTGCCCAAAAGGTTATGAGGTAGGTTAGTTTTGGCTTTATGTACGCGTGGTAGACTATGTTTTTTTGTTGTGTAGGTAATGCATTTTTTAGTTTGTGAGCTAAGCATGTATATGATGCTAGAGTTGTGGCTAGTTGTTGTATGTGGTTCTTCCAGGTGAGACGTCTATCTATGGTAAGTCCTAGATATTTTATTTGCTGTACTTCTTTCAAAGTTTTGCCCTTTAATTTTAATTTGTTGTTGTGTGTCTTTGGCCTTTTTTCTATGTGGATTATGTAACATTTGTCTTCGTTTAGTGTTAAGAGATTGTCGTTTGTCCATTTTTCCAGTTTTTCCAGGTCTTGCTCCATATTTTGTTGAGTGGCTTTATCATTATTGTTTACATAGAAGATTGCGAGGTCGTCTGCATACATCATATGCTTTCCGTTTAGATTTAATTTGTATAAGTCATTTATGTAGATGATATATAGAAATGGACCAAGTATCGATCCTTGAGGCACTCCAAAGTCGACATTTTGGACATCACTATGCGTTGATCCTATTGTTGTGTACATTTTCCACGTTTTTTTTATATCCGTATTTTTTATATCCGTATTTTTATATGCGTATTTTTTTTTTCTTATTTGTTTTATTTCTACACATAATAGAATTTTCATTTATTTATTTTTTACAGAAATATTTTATAATTTAAGTGATTAACTGGGGAAGTGTTGAAAACCGGGGGATAGAACTATTCTATCTGCCTGAACACACCCCAGAGATTTTTCCATTTTTTGTACAATTTTTTTTTTTTTGTTTTTTTTTCTATGTTTAAAATATTCTAAATAAAATGAATTTGTATTGTATTTGAATGGAAAATAAATTTATTATTATTATTATTATTATTATTATTTATTATTTGTTTTATTGGTTTTTGATTCGCTTGTATCCGATATTACCGATATTGTCGGATTCTTAGATTCGTTTTTGGTACTTGCGTTTGTATCGTTTACACTACTTAGGAGGGTTCTCGTTAACGACCGTAGCCCAACCTCTCACTTCAAGTGTTAGAACGAGACTCTCGATAGTCAGTTAATTTTATATTTTTAAAATTTTGGTTTTTGCTTTTGCACTAAAATAAAATTAACATAAATGATTGAAAAACGTTATATTAATTTAAAATAATATCTACTTCTAATGCAAGTCTTGCACATATTCCATACATAATATATAAATATAATACATAATTCATACATATCGTAAACAATAATAAGGTAATAAAATAAAACTATTGAACAATGTTGACAATTTTTTTTTATATAATAATGTTACAATAATTATAATAATTATAATATTTATTGTAATCTTGTCATAAAATATGCAAACATTTATTATGTGACAATTATCGATTAATATACGGATAATTATTTTACCCTTTTTTAAAAGAAAAATTATGTTACAATTCGATAATTACGTTACATTTGGAAACACTGTATGGCATTTTAGAACATTAAGGATCACTGTAAAAAATATTATTCACAGATGGGACAATTTTACAATATAAAATTCACAGATGGCGTTGTACTAGCGATATTTTTGTTATATCGATAAATCGATTTGGCTTCGGCAGTTCGATATATCGATAATAACACTATGATAGTTTTATAAACTTTTTTTTTCTAACATTGAGTACTCCGGCATAGTTTAACTAATTTTGGGCCGCTGATTTCAAAAATGTCACTTGTTTTGCTCTAGGACGTCTAGAATTTAAAATAATTACGTAATAAAATGCTCTGCTCAATCACCTCAAAATGAAGGTTTTTTGTAAATATTTTAATTATTATTTAAATTATTTTGCCTTAAATTTATCTTGAATGAACTGGAGTCGGTACACGTCAAATAGATAATATTTAACTTAGCGGTACAGCATTTTAAATACTAAAACTAAAATTATAATGTATTTTATGTAAAAAAACAACCATTATTTGACATTTTATTTTAATTATTGAATAAAAAAGGCAACAAAGTACAGAAGTTTCGGTATGAAAATTATCTTCGACAATTCCACTCCTTTCAATTTAAACCTATTAAAAACTGTCAAAAATACGGTTTGCTGACAGATAAAAAGGAAGGAACAGTAATGCAAGTGACCAAAATTGGCAAATATTTTTCTATTTACCTTCTCCATAGTAACGAATGTATTATTGTCTAGAGAAATGCCAAATGTCACTCGAGGTTTGAGCAGGAAATTTTTTGGACTTTTAACTCAAACTTGGTGGTTTGTAATTTGACTCTAACAAATTTGGACGAGAAAATCAAATGAGCTGAGCTCTCGTGATTTTATCGCCCAAATTTCTTCTCGTCAAATTAATACGTCAAACCCTCAAGTTTTCGTGAAAAGTCAAAAATTATCCGGCTAAATCGAAGCTCTAGTTGTATTACATTCGACTTTTATTTGATATTTTTTATCCATATTAAGCCCGCAAAATTCAATGCATTGCATAATTTTGCTTTAAGGGCAATCGGACTTCATGAAAATTTAATGTTTTTACTGTTTTTAATCTTAAATTTATTAAATCGTTTTTAATATTAAATTGAATTACACTATTATTGTGCTTAATACTTATCATCATCGTACGTCTTTTGCTGCAAATTCCAGCAAATGTCTTCTAGCAATGAATCCAACTTCGTTTTCTTTAATGAATAGGTGTCAATTTTCGGCCTGATATGATAAGATTTAAAAAATTTAATATTGGAGATTGAATTTTTGAATACTTTAGGCATGATGTGATTAAAAAAATATTAAATAATTGTCCAAAACCCGTTTACTTTGGTGCCTTTTCAATTTAGTAATTAAAAAATACATTAGAATTTTAGTTTTGGTATTTGGTCTAAATATTTTCTATGAGGAATATTATACTACTACTGCCACAATGGAACAAAAAATTTAAAATATAAATATTTTCTATTTGACATATACCTAACGATGTCTTTGTATCAAGTCCTTATATATTTTGACAAAAAACGTCAAAAATATACAGGGACTAGGTATACATCCAAAATAGATTTAAGGCAAAATAATTTAATAAGTAATCAAAATATTAACGAAAAAACTTACATTTCAAGATAATTGGGCAGAGCATTTTATTACGCAATTCGAATCCTAGACGTCCTAGAGCAAAACGAGTGGCATTTTTGAAATTAGCAGCCCAAAACTAGGTAATATAGGTGGGCGTACTCTTACATCTTAGCTCACTTTAACTGAGGTAAATTTAGATATCAGTCAAAAAGAACGCACCTAATAATTTGAAGAAAAATAACTTATTATTTTTTAGGGATGATGACACAAAATCGGAGGAAAAGGTGCCGTTGAGCGAAATTGCATGCGCACTAAGGAAGAAAATCGTACAAACGAAAACAATCGACTATTCAGACCTGGATTACAGGCCGATGCGCAAGGGTAGCGGAGACTCTTTGTTGTCCCAACGTAGCTTGGAATCGCAGCAAAGTTCCGACTCGCAGACAAGCGTTACAGTACGCGAAAGTATTCAACCGCAGCCAAAATTGCAGAAACAATCCACCAGCACGACCAGCGAGACATTTTCGGAGAGCGGAGCGACCCAGTCGGCACCGCCGGTTATTATGGAGATGTTCGACCCACTGATGCCGCTGGATAGTACTTGCAAATACGTCCCTGTTAGCCGGACATCAATTACTAGATCAACTTTTGAAACGAAAAACTTAAAAAGTTTCCCGCCAATCAGACGATCAAAAGAAAGAGACAATAATTTTCTGCCACGACCTGATGTATATCCATTCGATAAGTCGCCCAACAAATCAGAACAGATATTGGGAGTGCCTGAAGCTCCGGTCCGAATCACAAGAAAATCTAAACGGGGACACGTTAAGAGCTGTGGAGAGGAAGTTACCGACAGCATCAGTTCCACGTCGGAAAACTTTCCGTTTTTGTCGACTATCGACGAATCGAAACCTTCTCACAACCGACTTTTGCCGGAAAATTTATTGAACATAACGCCCAAAAGACAACGTCAAAATGTACCCGATTTGCGCCGACGCAATAGCGACCCGGCCACCAAACTGATGGTCAACGATCATCCAGCCGCTCTGGACACCTCAGCCACCCAAACCAAAAACGATTACAAGTATGTGAACCCGAACACCTTCGAAATGGGAGGACACGTTTTTAGAAAGGTAACCAGGGCGCCGAAAGACGACAATCAGTGCGCGTGCTGCCAAGAGGAGTTGGATACTTTCTCAAATCCCGGCTACAAGTGCAATTACTGTAAGAGGCTGGTACACACCAAATGCATACAAAACAAAGTTCTTAAAGAACCCTGCGTTGTACAAGTAAGTTTAAAATAATTTATTATGTATAATAGAGTGGCCGATCTTGATAAGAAGGGGAAAAAAAGTTGGATTTTTTTAGGTCTCACCCCTCAAACTTCTATATTGTGTAAAAATATATTGCTATAAGTTAAGTTCTCCTAAAATAAAAATTGGCAAAAATGGTCGGCAATACCATATTTATTACACTAGTTTACAGCCATTTTGCCCACCATGTCTCACTATGATTTTCTTGTGTATTTGGCTCACTAAACGCGAAAAACACTTAAAATTTTTTTCATGGAAGCGTTTTCGAGATATGAATTTTCATTTGTTTTTTTTTTTAATTTTCTGAGGTGTTTTCACGTTCTAGAGTATACTTTGAGTTCAAATTAATGGATTTGACCAAAAAGCACTTTAATCAAAGGTAATTGAGCCCTCTACAACTTTCTAGTAAGGGTGGGCAAAATAATGGATTAATCGATTATTAAACCGTCGATTTTTTTTTGTAATAATCGTTTAATCAATTATTTGATTAATCGATTATTAACTAATCGATTATTCGATTAATTGATTATTTTATTATTATAATAATAATTTTTATAATAATTATTATTTTAAATTAAGAATGTACGTACATCTATCAGCATTTTTACTTTAGTAAATAAATACATTAAGCCCAATATTTAATTGCCATACCTAATTATCTAATTGTAATAATTATTATAATTAGCTAATTGTATAATTAAAACAATCAAATATGTAAATATAAATAATATGAGCAATAAAGCATTTTTTTTAAAAATAAACAAAATAAAAATAGCGATTTTTCAGAAAACGTATTTTTATGATTTATGCTGGGTTTAAAAAAATTTAAACTTGTATTGCATGCATAATATAGGTCATAAGTATTAAAAAAACAAGGCAATTAATAATTGTCTTTTTACAGTCGTTCTTAGTGAAAATCCGCAAACTTGGAAGGACATATAAAACCAATTTAAATATCGTAAAAAAATAAAAGTTTTCTTCGATACGGCAGAAAAGGTTACTAATAGACGAATATAGTACAAAATTAACTAAAAACGAAGAGCAACGCCAGTATATATTTCAAACTGTGAATATGGGAAAAAATTTAAGAATGTAACAAAAGAAACAATTGTCACAGTATCTTTAAAGAAATTAATAAGAATTAAGAAAAATTCTATAAATTTATTTCTTCTACATAGTTGTATTTATGTAATTAATAAAGGCCATACAACTTACAATAATGTATACATTTTATTTTTTGGCGGCACCATTTTTCATTAACGTTGGGAATTTTTGCAGAATTTTTTTTTAACCTATAAATAACTTTTAAGGGTGAGACCAGAAAAAGTTTAGGCCACTCTAATGCATACTAATTTATTACCTAATATTTAATATTTATAGGCAAGACCAGGCCAAGATTTCGGAAAATCCAGCCGGCGGAAAATCAGAAAACACTCCAGGGCGCCATACGATCTTCAAAAGGCTGAAGATAGCAAATTCAATCTGACCAGAACGTCTGAATTCACGGATCGTGAGGATCGCATCATAAACGGACCGGAAGAGATGAAAATGATGACTCAATTTATAACGGATAAAATAATGAAAATCGATGGAGACAACAAAAAATCCAGCGATGTCGACAAATTGTTCAAACATGCTTTGAGGGAGTTCAAAGATAATTTGGTGTCAATGTATAGTGTAAAACACGGTTTTGACGGTTTTAATGTTCGCTACAAGGATTTGATAGAGATTTTCAATAAGGCAATGGATACAGTGTGCCAAAAGGAGGAAAAGTCTAATCAATGCACAGATTTTCCGGTTACGATGGGCGTGAATGCTTTTAGAGGTAAAGAAATGTTCATTCCCATTAAAACAATAATAATTTCAATAATTTCTATTGCTAAAGTCTTTGACCTTTGATTTTTCAAATCAAAGTGTTTACTTAAACCATAAGATAACTCTTTTTTAATTTGTTCTGTTTTTCCTCGTATTGTTTAATGCTTAGCCACATTTTATTGCATTTTGTCTTCACTTTTATACGCTAAAGAAGTATCGGAAATCCTGGGTTGAGTTTTATCGGTTTTCCAATAAACAGTGTTAATACGAATAAAGAAATAAATTTCATACAGTCCCTGTAAATATAAATTGTATCTATTAGATACACTAAATACGTAAAAAGTGTAAACATTTCAATTCAGTAATAATCATTAAACAAATAAGTCGTATAAATTTAAACAGCATTTAGCATTATTAATAGCGTTGATTAAGAACTCTTTAAAGTCTCCACTCAACAGTAAAATACCATTATATTATGTATTATATATTATATTATGTTGCCATGAATTCGTAGGTATATTTTCTTGTTTAAAATGCAGTTGTCGGCGTTTTTTAGAGAACTCAAATATAAAAATGTCCAAACTTAAATATAAATTATATTAGGTAAAGTTATCATTGGTGAATTCTGCACCAACAAATGTACTTACCGAATTGGATCCTTTGGCATAACATGAAAATGCAACTATTTAGTTCTTGAATTTTATTTACAATTAAAAACACAATAATTCACCATGATCCCTTAGATAAAATACACACACTAACGTAACTATAAAGGCATTTAAGCGTTGAGTTTCTTAATCAATAATCAATCGAAATCGAGTACTAAACCAGTTTTTTAGCTTTTTCCTTGCAACGTAAAACTTAAATAACGTGCGCGATTAAGCTGTGCAATTGAACAAAATTTGTCGAGTAAGACTTCTGCCTTCCTCTCTTTTGTGAAAAAACTACCTATTTATTTAAAAATGATGTACAGTTCGTATGCTTTAAATGTATTGTTGACAATTCTTATGTAAAAAAACTACCTATTTATTTAAAAAAGATGTACAGTTCGTATGCTTTAAATGTATTGTTGACAATTCTTAAATTCACGCAATGCTTTTAAAGTCCACCAGAAGGCGCGCGCGTTGCGAAAACGCGATACCTCTTTAGCGTATAAAGTATGTCCAACAACTAAGATATAAATTATACTAATTACATTCCCGCTTTGAACAATCTTACTCCTTCCCCTGTATATATTTTCATTCCCTCCCTGTTATCAGGTAAGAAATGTTTCATTCCCTCGCGCTACCATGTATGTACTGTAAACACGGGTGGCTTTAGCTCACTTTCAAATTTAAGCTTAAAATGTTTGTGGTTTTAACAATCATAATAACTATGTTTTAATATTACATAGGTTTTGAAAAATAAAAATGAAAAACTGCGTGTGCAAAGTTACCCCCTGGTTGCGGGTAACTTTGTCTCACAATGTATTTTCTGTATAAAATTAACTCAATATTTTATTTTATTTTTATTAGACATATGTTAGCAGCGACATATAGCTATTGCACGGGATTACCGATAAAAAAAATAAAAAATCGACCTGTATTTAACCAAGGATCATCATTCCAAAGGATTGCGCATAATATAGAAATTGTAACGCGTGTATTTCTAAGACTTTTGCACTGATGCAATATATACTATGTTAAAGTGTAATAAATTCTATTTATTTCTTTAAAACAATGATTTTCATGTAATATAAACTCAATAGAATCGCTCAATTGACAGGTTTAGACCAACAAACTATAAATGTTAATTTTATCGAGCGCGAAAAGATTTTTCATAAAACGGTTAAAGTCACCCGAGGGGTGCAAAGCCACCCGTGTTTACGGTACCTTTGAATGTAAGTGTCTGATTTTAATTTTGACACAAGTTTTTTTGCGAGTACCTACCCAAATTGTGTAGGTATTTGTAAGCAATTCCACTCGACAAAAAAGTGTAGTGATCACCGAGCGTAGAATCATAGCAATTACTCCCAATGATGAAAGTTTCCGAGCGAGCCGATAGGCGAGTGAAGGAATTCATTGAGGGAGTATGATTCCATGCTCGGTAAATAATATACTATTATTTTGTCAATTTGAGTGAAAAGTGTTTTGTTATGCAAAATTAGTAAACCTATGAGTGAAATTTATAAATAATATAAATAATCATGAGGCAGATATTTTTATTCTTGTAGTAAAGTTTTTTAAAATTCGCATTAATTTTTGCGAATGCGAATATTTGTTAGGTACCAACCTTTATGCAGAAAAGCTTAATGAACCATTTGGTATAAAAAACGCCCTTTGAATCGCTAAAAAATGTAGTCAAATGCCTATCTGAAAAAAATCTTTAATTTTACAATTTTTTTTAAAAAGTAATTTTTTTAAATTTAGATTTAATTTACTATTTATTTTATTCTTTAATAGATAAAGAGATACTTTAAATCATAAATAATTAGAAAAAAATCATATTTTTTTAAGTGCAATCTTTATTTTTAGGTAAATTCACTGTTTAAAAACATACATTTTTACCAAAACCTATTGTTTATAACAATTGCCGTCATAAAATTACCAAAAATAATAACTCTTTTAAAAGGTATTTTTCCACTGATGTGCGACATTACCAACAGCGCTTGTGTTTTCCTATACATATTTTGTTTACCAAGTGTTTTTTATTTGTATTTTAGGTTATATGAACGAGTTTATGTCGTCGAGGGCGGAAGAGAAACCAAGCAAAGTAAAACGAAAAAAGGAGAAGAAACGAAAATTTGAAGTGACGAAATACAATTCGCACACATTCCACCTGACCATCATAAATATACCGACTGCTTGCGAAATTTGCAGTTCCTTTTTTATGTGGCCATTAGAAAGAGGTCTAGTCTGTCAGTCATGTAAGCTCACTTGCCACAAGAAATGCTACAGGAACGCGATGCAATGCAAAGATTCCAGCCTTAGAGGGGAAACGCGTAAAGTTTTTGGTGTGGAACTTGAAAGGCTGGTCAACGAGGAGAACAGGATTCCAGCGGTGATCGAAAGGCTCTTAAAGCAAATCGAGATATCTGGTCTATATACAGAAGGCATTTACAGAAAGTCAGGAGTTAGCTCTAAAATTAAAGAACTGAAATGTAGATTGGAAGAAAACGTTGAAACCGTTGATTTTTCAGGTTATCACGTGCACGTGTTAGCGTCGGTTTTTAAGAGCTTTTTGCGTGAAATGCCTGAGCCGCTTCTCACCTTTGACTGCTACGAGAACTTTATAACGGCCGCAAATTTATCCGCCGACACCGATCGGATAGCCACGCTTTATGACATACTGAAAAAACTCCCGCCTTCGAACTACGATCTGATGGAAAGGCTGATGTTCCATCTGGCTCGGATTGCTCTGCACGAGGACACGAACCGGATGAGCTCTGCCTCGTTGGCGATCGTGTTCGCGCCGTGCGTTCTCCGAACAAACAAATTGGTGCCGGCGCAGGACTGTCTGCAAGACATTAACAGCCAAACGCGGTGCATCGAGACCATCATAGGAGCGCAATTGGCAAAAGTCAGAGCTACGTTGGACGATATCGACACCTTGGACACAGCCTGTCAAGCGGCCACAAAAAGGCTCTCTACGTTGAGAAGTTCCAAGGTGTTTAGTCCTGAGGAACTTGTCACAAACATGGTAAGTTTTATTTTTATGCCCCCCATATAGTTATACAGGGTGTTATGTAATTAATGTTATATATTAAAATACTGAATACCTTTTGACATAAGGAATAAAGTAAAAATATTAAAAAAAACATTTTTCCAAAGATAAAGAAAAAATATGCATTAGAAGTTTTTTATATTTTTTGTGATACGCCACTCTTTACACACTTGTTTATCTCTGCACACCTGTATTTTGTGAGTACATAGATACCAACCAACAAAGTAGCTATGCGTTGCCAGATGTAAAAAATTGTTACTAAAAATTTTTCTTGCAAAAATAAATAAAAACTCAATAAATACAAAAGTTTTATGCCCTTAAAGCTCTAATACCCTTCTGTATTTATTTACTCATCCAGCTATTAGCTTAAGCAATGATTAGAAAATTTAGTACCTTTGAAATTTGAAATCCATAACCACAAAATTAATTTTTTCATCAGTTTTTTTCTCTGTTTACTCAGATGAAATTGGGACCAGTCCACAGGTTAAACTTTAAACATTTAATTTGTGTAAATAAATCCAAAAGCACTTCCCTTAGTTAAGATATTTACAATTTGAAAACATAACCTAAAATTTAAAATAAATGCACTAGATTCTGTCATAAAAGTTGGCAGATTTTGTTTGAATTTACCTTCAGTACAAAAATGAAATAACCAACAATTAATAAAAACGCCAAATTGACAATTTGCATTTTTAATTTTGTCATTTTTGTAATTAAGCTAAATTTAAACAATGTTTGTCAACTTTTTTGAGAGATTTTGGAAACACTGTTGTTACCAACCATAACATAATAAATTCACCAGATTAAACTAAAGTTCCTAGTCGATCAGTGGCGTACTTTTTGGTAGGATAAAGGTTATTATAAATTATTTTTAGACTTTGGAATTTAGAAAAAAAAGTTTCAGGTGCTTCTTTATGGACCCTAAGTAACAACCCATTTTAATATATAACATTAATTACATAACACCCAGTATAAGTAATATAAAAAAAATAGTTAATAAATTGGGATTCCTGATCCTTATCTTAAATAAAAAAAAACAAAAATAAACATTTTTAACAATTATTTTTTGACCCCGGACAACAATCGCCATTTCCTGGTGAAGTCATGATGATATCACAACGTGATTTTTTTTTATCACGCTGTGATATCCTGAGTGCATACACATGCTTCATCAGTGATATCACATAGAACTCACGGTGTGATATTTGCAAAATTTGCGCATGCGTATCAGCCCTGCGAACTGCAAATTTAAAACCTAGTTTGTTATTCACATTACAGCGTTATAATTTATAAAACGTTGTTTGAATATCACGAATGTTGTCCGGTTTCAATTAAAAAAGATCCTGGACAACATTCTTGATATTCATACGAACATCATGTCGTGATTTTCACAGATTTTATTTATACTGATATTATACGGAAGTGATAAATGAAAATCATACGAACGTGACGTCGTGATTTTCACAAATTTTATTCATACGGACATCATCCGGATGTCACTGCGTGAGAAATGAAAATCGTCGTGATTTTTTATGCCATCACTGTTTGCGATTGACCGATGGCCTAAAAAATCACGACATGCTATCGGTGTTTAAGCATAAAAAATCACATGATTGTTTATGCCATTGGTGCACCGACATGTTTGGATATTTATTTTTGCGCCACATTCGTACATTGAAAGAAAAAGTATGTTAACAATTGAATTACCAGTTTTTGCGGTCAAATACATTTAATATTTTCTTGGATGTAAATTAACTAATAATTGTTATCCAAAAAAATATTGAATGTATTTAACCACAAAAACTGTTGATTCAATATATGTAGGTATACTTTTTCTCTCAATGTACGAATGTGGCGCAAAAATAAATATCCAAACACCGATGGCATAAAAAATCACGACATGATTTTTTATGCCATCGGTGCACCGACATGTTTGGATATTTATTTTTGCGCCACATTCGTACATTGAAAGAAAAAGTATGTTAACAATTGAATCAACAGTTTAACATTCAATATTTTCTTGGATTTAAATTAACTATATATAGTTCATTTAAATCCAAGAAAATATTAAATGTATTTAACCGCAAAAACTGTTTTTCTATTAGTGTACGAACGTAGCGCAAAAATGATTATCCAAACACCGTTGGCATAAAAAATCACGACATGATTTTTAATTCTCACGCAGTGACATCCGGATGATGTCCGTATGAATAAAATTTGTGAAAATCACAACGTGACGTTTGTATGATTTTTAATTATCACGCGGTGACTTCCGTATGATATCAGTATGAATAAAATTTGTGAAAATCACGACATGATGTTCGTATGAATATCACGAATGTTGTCCGGGACGTTACTAAGAACCAATAAAAACTTTTTATTTTGTGTGTACTACATTTTTTTTTAATGTGACGGTCAGGGCAAAAAGTCCCGAGGCTCATGGAAAGGCCTTTTTAGTTTTTTTAATTAAAAAATAAAATTTGTTATCATATACCTTTTAATCCTTTTAAATAATGCGATATAACAATTATTGTAATCTCGAATATCTCGGAAACGGTTTATTTTATCGAAGTTTGAGAGGTACCCCTTTTTAATGGTAACCTCAAAGTTTGTATGGGACAATAAGCTTAAAGCAACCCCAGTTTCTACTACACTGTATTCACTCAAACAATTGTAATTATGTGTGAATATGTGTTTTGGTAGTAAGTGACTGTTCGCAAAATATCACCTTTCCAAGACTACCATAGTAGAAGTTATATTAAAAAAACTGATATGATAAGTAACACTATATCACCCTGTATCTTGGAAACAAGTAATTAGGAAAAATATTTATTTAGATTTTCGTCTTATTTTTACTTGCTCAATCTTTACCTAAATTTATGCCAATAAGTTTAGGGACACCTTGTATAGTGAAAATACATTATTGTCGGGAAAAAATTTAGTATATAGTTGAATTTTTAAGTCATGAGCCCTACGGCAACAATGTCAAGCAACTGAATCAAATCGAGGGCAAAATCAGTGGCGTATCGTGGAGTTTTATTTGGGGTTCAAAATGTTGTATACGTATGCAGTCCATTATACACGTTTGTGCTTTGGGTTGCGAATCAAAATATGAGAATCGTATTTTGCCTGGCTTAAACCATATTATGATTCGTTTTAACTTAAATCCTTCATTTGAACGTGCAAATTTATAAAAACAGTAACTCTTATGTAATAATATTATTAAATGAAACGTTGTAATTTATATATATTAAATTATTGTAATTTTAAATTATATAGTTTGCGTTACCCATTCTGCGTGGAGAAAATTAAGGGTACCTATTCTACTACTAAAAAATTCCATATACTTTGCAAATTTTCAAAATATGTATGTTAATTAATTTGGAAATATTAATATTTGTATAATGCACAATGGTTAAAATATTATTTTATATAATCATTTAGTTGTGGAGATTGCACACACCAATAAGCTCAAATGGAGACAAAAATGGGATGTCTAATTTTTGTTTAATAGTAAAATGCAATATACTTTGAAAAAAATTGGTTTATTTAATAATTTAATGATAAATGCTCTTAACTGCATTAAAAGGATCTATTTTCATCTATTAATATGTTAGTATTTATATATAAGATATCTTAATCGCTATCATCTTCCGATTCATCGTCGTTAACGTTACCAATGTGGATTATCATTTCATGACCATGATCATCGTCCAAGATTCTTTCTTTATTGTACCATTCCTCTATAATTTTTTCAGTGTGTGCTATTTTTGACTTCCATGATTCTGGAGTAACTTTTTGTAATGCCCGTTCCCACATAGTAAGCACTTTATCATTGCCATAGCCATCTTCACAAATTGACAATGGTACGGAGGCAATCTTAAAGCTTCATGTCCATTTTCTTGTAGCAATTCATCAACCTTATATCCTATTGGTTTTTTATGTTTCTTGGCTAAATTTAAAAGTTCTACTTTGAACATATCATTATTTAATGGTATATTATTTTCTTCCAACCATTCCTTAATTTTGTTTTTAGTCCATGAAACCGTTGGTTGTTTTTCCATTAAGACGCTATGGTAAGATGCGTTGTCCATTATAATTAGAGAAGGTTCCTGTAAATTTGGGATGAATTGTTCTTGCAACCATTTCAAAAAAAATTCTGAGTTCATATCACCATGATAATCCGCCAGTTTGGACCTCGTGGAGTAAACCAATGCGGCATCGCGAATAAAACCTTTTTCATTACCAGCATGCAACACAATGAAACGTTTTCCATCATAACCTTCTGGTTTGCGTACACTTTTTGTGGATGAGTCTTGCCAGGATCTTGTATGGCTTCCTTTAGCAAATATCCAAGTTTCATCTAAATTTAAATACGCAAATTATGGAAAATATTAAAAAATTCAAGTACACCAATGATGACAGGCTGTCAAAGTTTTGTAGACATTTGTGCATTTAGCTATCTTTGTCGATCCCATTATTATAAAAATATAAACATAAAGAACGTATGTTGTGGTATTATTAGACATACGTTTATCTATCGCTATATGCTACGTCCCAGTTGTCCTGCGGCGTGGAAATACAATACGAATGTCTGAGCTATATCCTTACATATCGTCGCCTTCAGGAGAAAATTGCTTAACTCCATGTTGTAAAATTTTACAGGAGGAAAGAAAAACATATTAAAGGTGTATTGGTGTATCTCCACATTACCGCCAAAAAATTGTTTAATGGAAAATTACGTATCTCCAATATGTACTTTATGTTAATAAAAGTAACCTTAAATTATTCATGGTACCTTAACTTTACACACTATACAATCTTTCATACTTACATACAGAAAAAATAACTAGGCAATAACTTATACTTGTCAATGGCACTGATTTGTATATTGGAGTTAGGCATTATTCCCTGGACGCTCCTCCACGATTGGAGATACGTATATTTATTTTTCTAAATTTAAAATTAACGGTTTATTTTAGGACATCTGTAACTTGCATATAAATTAGTTACAGTTTTATCTAACAGATGCCACTAAAATACCATTTTAATGAAAATGTGGAGTTACGTGATTTTCTCCTGAAGGCGACGATATGTCACGTGAGGGTCATGATTAAAAAACCAAACTATATATACAAGTTGATTAGTGCCTTAGCAAAATTACGCGCGCACGGCTGTTTTTCCAATGCAATAATGATTTTATTATTAATTTCCCGAAATGGGTTCCGCCGGCCCTGCTTTTAATCATTAATACTTTGCTACAACTATGTTCCAATCTTAAACTTATTATTCAAAAATATTTTTATTTGAAAAATTATATTAAATATATCTTATACAGGGTGCATCAATTATCCTTTTATGTATAGGTTTCTTTTTTATTAAAATGCCATTTAAAAGTTGGAAAACATCTGCGTTTCTCAAATGATTTGAAGAAAACTGAAAAAACCAGTCATAACAAAAAATCGATACCTATAACTTTGTTATTTCTGGGAATTTTGAAAAAAGTAAGTTTTACATTTATCTATATTTTCATCCAATTTGTAATTTTTTTCGCTTATTAGATTTTGAGATACCACCACTATCTTTTTCCTATATTGGATTTTTATAGAATAGTACATTCTGTAACAAGTTTGGAATACAGCATATTTCGCTCGAGGAAAAATTTGACACACGAGCCGAAGGCGAGTGTGACGGTTTTACGAGTGGAATATGCTATTCCAAACGTGTTTCAGACATTATTTTCTCTACGACTACGTAAGAATAGTAACGTTTTTTAAACAGAGAAAAGAAACCAAGCAGTTTTTGACATTTAAATTTTTTGTATTGTCAAACCATTTTGTGCCGTCACAATTTTATAATGTAAATTATAATAAATTTAAACAAATGGTATGCCTAAATCTTTATTATAATTAAAAATTGTTATTTACACTAACTAATAAAAAAATAACATTGTAACATGTCAACATCTATTCTTTTTCTACATTTTAAAGGTCTTTTTTTAAACTTTTTGAATCTGTCAAAACTTTAAAGCCGGTATAGTCAGGGCCGGATTTACGAATTTGCCGCCCATGGGCCCAACGCATCATTACCCCGAATATCGAATGACTCAGCGAATAAGCTAGAGTCGCGCCCCACTCGCCTCGTGTACATCGACTGCCGCCCTTCTACGCAGTGACGCACTACGCAGAATAATAGTGTAGTCTGATATAAAATTATCTAATGTATTAAAAAACTTCTCTTCCAACTTTTTATAGTTTAAATTAGTGTATAAATCTGAGTGAAAACAAAAATTCTGCATAAAACGCTCTTGATTTTTTAGCAAAATTTTAACTGGCCTTCAAAATTTGACGCCCCTAAAAATTTGCCGCCCTGGGCCCGGGCCCATGTGGCCCATGCCTAAATCCGGCCCTACTATACCTATAGTAGGTAACTGTTTTATCATTTTAATATCAAATTTATTATAATTTTAATTTGTATATTTGAAAAACAATAAATAAAACTAATTTTTTGTGCCTAAACCTTAATTATACAACTGCCATTATTTTTTAATTAATAAATAATACAGTAATATTTAAATATTTTTAAATTTTTTACGTTTAGTAAACAGCCAGGAGATGTCGTTACTTGTAACCATTCTTAAACAAGAGTAGGAATATTCTCGCACAGTATTGCAGAAAAACATCCTTTCTATGATAAAAAATTACACTAGAATGTTACTATTCTTAAGTAGTCGTAGAGAAAAAAAATTAAGAAATCCAACAATCTATCAAACTACATAACATAAGATGGTGTTGGTAACTTAAAACATAGTACATACTTACATGTAAAAGTTACTCAAAAATTACCAGAAGTAATAAAGTTATGACTTTTTGTTTTTGAAAGCTTTTTAGTTTTTTTTTCAAATATTTTGAGAACCGCTGGCTTTTTTTGCAATTTTTAAATTTTATGTTAATAAGCTAAAGCCATTCAGTTGGATTCTTGGACTTCTTAGGAAGTAAGGGTGGAACTAAAAGAGCACTTTTGTATATACTTATTTTTTGTAATTACGCAACTTTTCTCTAATCTAACCGACCTTGTAACTCTTTAAATAAAAAAATACTTATAGAGTATACACATAATATGTGTAATTTTGTCTTATTTTCTAAAAAATAATGCAATACAAGGTGCACCAAGTACATGTCCTTCTACATATTATGTGGAAGGATACTTGGTGCACCCTGAATTGCATTATTTTTTTTTTAAATAAGACAACATTAGCGTTATATAGATAACCTATTTCAAGGTGTTATAAATATATATAAATTAAGACCTTTATATACAACAAATACATATATTGTATTATTTTCAAAAATTATGACGAAATTAGCGTTAAACTGAATTCCTTATTTAAATGTTTTGATGTGGAGCATAGTACATAATATTAATATACCTGACATAATATTTTTATAGGACAATTTCTGTGATTTTTTGTATTAAGATTTAGATCTTAGTATTTATTGCCAGCCCATATTTTATTAAACATGGTAAATTCTCATATAACTTGTTTCGATGCTGTATCCACTTATTTTTGTGAAAACTAATTCTCGCTCAAGGTTTTTTTTAGTGTAATGAGCAAGTAGCATTTTAAGGTAATGGGAACTTAAATTATGACAACCCTAATCTATTAATTTTTTCCTAAAATGCAGGCTTTATGTTGCAAATGTCACATAAGTTACCGGTCACCAACTGCAATATCCTAACATTGATGAATATTTTAACAAAATGGCTGTTGAAACAACTAATGTTAGTGCTTGATTAACTCAAAATAGACTTAATTAAGATTGACGAAAAATTCTTTTATCCGAAATCGGCAGTAAAGTAGAACTTTACTGCCGATTTATTTTAATTTACGATTGTTGACTACTTTACTGCCGATTTCGGATAAAATAATTTTTTGTCAATCTTAAGTCTATTTTTAGTTAATCAAGCACTAACATTAGTTGTTTGAACGGTCATTTTGTTAAAATATTCATCGATGTTAGGATATTGCAGTTGGTGACCGGTAACTTATGTGACATTTGCAACATAAAGCCTGCATTTTAGGAAAAACTAAATAGATTAGGGTTGTCATAATTTAAGTTCCCATTACCTTGAAATGCTACATGCTTATTACACTAAAAAAAACCTTGAGCGAGAATTAGTTTTCACAAAAATAAGTGGATACAGCATCGGAACAAGTTATATGAGAATTGACCACATAACAAATCGTCAACAGAGCTTTTTTACCATTGTTACCCAAATAGCAACGTAAATTCACAATGCGCGCAGACGAGTAAGAGCCGTTTCACATGCGACTGATAAAGTCCTGACGATCAGTCCTGATGATACGGACTGACGGTCATGGCCATTGTTTCACAAGCAACGTATAGTACGGAAATGTCTACTTCTTCTTCTTCTTCTTCTTACTTATTTATTTCCTTTCAAAGGAAATTGGCCTTGAGACAATGGAGCTCTTACTGGCCAGCTACTAGTTTTTTGTTTTTTTCGTCGTCAAGAGTGTTTATGGAGGTTTCTTCTTTTGTAAGTCAAATATTTAGGTTATGTAACAGCACAAACAAAGAAAAAATCAGGAACGGTAGGAAAACCTAAACATATCACAATTTAATATTAGAATCTTTAAGGAATCTATAAATGCATCTATATGTATCTAAAAAAGCGCATGCTATAATGGATTTGAAGCTACAAGGCAGCTGATGTCCTTTTTGGACCAAGCTATTTATTAGTGCATTAGAGTTATTTATGTTATTATTACAGGCAAAAAGTAAGTGATTTGTATCTCCGTACTCACCACAGTCACAAAAAGGATCGTCTTTTACTCCTATACGGAATAAATGAGCTGGAATTGCATTGTGTCCCAGCCTAAATCTACTTATTGTTGTTATAAAGTCTCTCCCCAAGTATTCTGAGTTGTTAAACCATGGAATTTTCCATATGTGGTTTTCTGATAAAATGTAATTTTTACCTTTCTTTTTTACTGAATTGTACCAAAATTTTTTCCAACTAAAAAGCAAATGTTTGTTGGCCTCTTTGTAGAGTTCATTTGCTGGAATTTTAAAATTTTCTACCCTTTTTTGACCCTTTTTTGCTAACTGATCAACCTTTTCATTACCTTTGATCCCGGAGTGACCAGGTATCCAACAAAGCTTTCCGTATCCTTTATTTTTAGTAATTTCAAAATATATTTTATTAATTTCTAACATTGTAATATTTGATTTAGAATTCCAAGAATTTTTCTTGATCTGTAATAAGCAATTAAAAGAATCTGAAAATATTATGAATTTCTTAATTTTTTTATCCAAACATATTTTAAGTGCATATAAAATTGCCAATTGTTCCGCTAAAAAGATTGAAGATCTACTATCAATCTCATATGAACTTTCAATATTAAGAGAGGGGATGTATATTCCGAAAGAACTTGAACCTTTTACCTTTTGAACAGATCCATCTGTATAAATTTGAACAAATTCGGACCAATCATTATTAATTTTCTGTTCAAAAAGTTTTTTTATAAGACATGTGTTCGAACTCTTCTGAACACCCCATTCCAATATCACCGAAATTGGGACAAGTTGCTCAAAAAAGTTATAAGTAAAAATTGGTGTTTTGGATTTTCTTAAAAATGTTTTTGAAGTTTCATAATATTTTTTAAACGATTTGAATAGGCAGTTATTTTTTATTAATAGGGCTTTGGACCTCTTTGAGTAGAGGGGATCGTATTTTTGCAAACTATTTATCACCATATCTGATGATATGGCAAATTTTCTTAAAATAAATCTATCTGCTAATAATTGTCTTCTAATGTTTAATGGTGGTTCAGATGCTTCCATCTGTAACGCATTAGTAGGGGATGAAGACATACTCCCTAAACAAATTCTAAGGGCTAGATATTGGATCCTGTCCATTTTTTCCGAAAGACCTTTAGTGCAAGCGTTAAATAAAAAGCTGCCATGTTCTAGTCTTGACCTAACCAAACCTCTATATATCATTAATAGTGTCTTAGGGTCACCTCCCCAAGAAACTCTTGTTAAACTTTTTAAAATATTCAATATTCTATAACATTTGTTAACAATATCATTTATATGAGAAGACCAACTTAAATTATAATCCAAAAAAATTCCCAAAAATTTTATAGAATTTACTACCTCAATCTGTTCGTTATTTAGCCTAATAAAGGGTTGAAAAGTTCTATTCTTGGAAAAAAGTATAGCCTTTGATTTGGATGGACTCAAGGTAAGACCTCTCTCCATCAGCCATAAAGACAAACTCTCTAAAGAGTAATTAATAAAATGTTCTGATAACCTAGTATCCATACCACAGGAATAGATCACTATATCATCTGCATATTGAAGGATTTTAGTGTTAATATTTATGGCTGATTCTATATCTCTTAAGTAAAGGTTAAAAAGAATTGGGCTGAGAATAGACCCCTGTGGTAAACCTTTAAACGATGTTCTACTATTTTTAGTTCCATTATTTGATGTAAGTATGATGCGTTTTTTATAAATTAATTCCCATATAATCTTAACCAGAGCAGATGGGAGATTCAAATCTGACAGGATTGATATCAATTTATCCGGCAGGACATTATCATATGCTGCAGAGATATCTAGGAAAAGAGCCAGAGTATGGTAACTCTTTTTAAGAAGATTGGCAATAATATCATTTGTTAGAATTGAAACATTATCTAAGGTACTAAGACCTTTTCTGAAGCCGAATTGAAAATTTGGGATAAATTGATTCTTTTCCACCCACCACTCAATTCTATCCTTAATAATGTGTTCAAATACTTTTCTAATGCAAGATGACATTGCTATGGGACGATAACTATTAGGATCATCTGGATTTTTACCTTGTTTGAGAATTGGGATGATTGTGAAATTGTACCAATCTGACGGGATTTCCTGATTTCCTGATAAAATTTTATTAAAAAAACGAATTAAAAACATCTTTACTTTGAGTGGTGAGTGAATAAGCATACTATATGAGATATTATCGGGTCCTGGAGAGGAATCCTTAACCCTTGATAGTACTCTAGTTAGTTCCGATATACATATGTTTCTAAGTAGAAAACTATTTGAGCAATTGTTACCAAAGTCAGGGAGATTAACACAATACGGGGGAGCTAGAGAGTCCAAAAAAGACTCCTTCCATGTATCCATATTGCTAGTGAAATAATTCTCTCTTATCATGGCCTTATTATATATTTTTATTGATTTCCAAACATTTGATATATTATTTTCCCTGTTCAGGTTTGATGCAAAATTATGAAACGATTGAAATTTTTTCTTTTTTAAAAATTGTTTTACCTTTGCTGATATTTTTTTGAATTCTACAAAAAGAGTTAAGTTACCATTTGTACGAAATGACTTTAAGGCTCTCCTTCTCTCCCGTATCATGTCTGAACACTCCTCATCCCACCATGGACATATGTAATCGTTTTGAATAAAGGATTTATATGGAATACTAGCATCACCTTTCTCGTTAAGAAGGTCTATGAAATTTTCATAAGTTAAAGATGAAAAATTGTATTCATCCAGGGAGGAATAGAAATTATTCCAGTTAGCTCTCTTATAATTCCTTTTATTAGTTTGTATTGAAATGTGCTTTTTACCTCTCCCCTTTCCGGGAAATTCCAAATGAACCTCAAGCGGATAATGGTCACTACCATAATTATCCTCCAAAGTAGCTTCTTTACAGTTTAGTAGTAGATTACTAGAACATATTGCTAAATCGATAATACTGATTTTATTCCAATTTAACATAGTAGATTTATTGTCATTAATTATATTTATTTCTTTTTTATCTATAAACCTTTTTAACCTATTACCGTTAGTGTTACATTTGAAACTTCCCCAGGATTTATGATGGCAGTTGAAATCACCCACCAAAATAAACGTGTCTCCCAAACTACTAAAAATATCTCTCCAAAATACATCATGAGTTGCATAATCTGGAGCAATATAGATAGAACCAATCTTTATATCATTAACTTGGATTATTACCATTTGGACAGATTCCGGAAGCAAAAAATTTAATTTAATCTGTTTGAAGTGTATATTTCTTTTTATTAGAAGTGCTGAACCTCCTTTACCATCTTCTCGTTTTAATAAAATGGAGTTATAGTCTTTAAGGTTTATATTTTTGTTTGCTTTAAGCCAAATTTCTGATAAAGAGATAATGTCAGGATCACATTTTTTTATTAATAGTAATAAGTTAGTTTTATTATTTGGGAAACTACGAATATTCCAGTGGATTATCTTAAGATTTGCCATATACGAAATTTATATGTTGTTTTTTCCTTTTTAAAGTAAAAAGGAATTAAATGAAATAAACTTTAAATAAACTAAGTAATTATTTATTCAATGCAACGTCAGTTTGACCCTGCATTGAAGTTTGAGAAAAGTGTATATTTATTAGTTTTGAGAGAATATCTGGGAAATTTTTGGAAAAATGCATAAATAGCTCACTAAAATGCTCCTTGTTGGGAGACATTTCACTAGTCATTTCCTGTGCCTGTTGGGAGGTACTGGGAGTTGATATATAAGGGCGTTTGGAAGGTGTTTCATGTATTCTTCCGTTTGAATTAAGAAAATGGTCTTCACTATATTGTGAGGACCTTTTTGCGTGCTGACGAGGGGTTTTATTAAGTACTTTTGTAAAAGTTAAATTTTTCCGAAGGGGAAATTCCTCTTCTATTATGTCATTAGTAATAGGAGGAAAGTCCTCAGAGAAAACATTTTTATTTGTACTTTGAACCATGGATGATTCCTTTTGAGGTACTACTACCGCTTTTGTTTTTTGAGAAGCTTTAAAAAATGAGAGATTATATAAAGACATAATTGTTTTAATTTTTTTTTGACGTATAAATTCAGGACAAACACGGTTTTTAAAGTCCGTACCTTTTTCTGTAGAAGAATGATTCTTTTTACAGAAAATACACTTTACAATACAGTTATCATGACTATTCTCTTTTTCTTTTTTTTCTATTTGTTCTATTCTTTCTAGACCGCACCTGTCACATCTAGGTTTACTTTTACATTGCGCCAGAGTATGACCATAACGAAGGCACCCAAAACATTGTATTACCGGCTCTATATACTTTTCAGTTGAAAAAATACACAAAAATAACTCAACTTTCTGGGGAATAAACTTACCTCTGCAAGTCAAAACAATCATTGAAGTATTCACAAGCTCTTTATTTTCCTTCGATTTCCTCTTAATCCTTCTAACATTTATAACTTTTGTGATTTTTCCCACAGATTTTATATTTTTAAGAATATCTGCCTCTGTAAATTCTGGATCTATTCCTCTAACTATTGCTTTAGATGTTACGAGATGCCTAGGAATGTAAGCTTTAAAATTATATTGTTTCAGAAATTCTTCATTACCCAAAAATTCATTGGCTTTGGTCATATTTTTAAAATAAACTGCCATTCTATTTCTACCCCTCTTAGTTACTCTAATAATTTCATAGTTATTATTTTGTGCTAGCAATTTACCTACTCTTTGATAATGCAAAGTTGTATTATCAGCTGATTCAATATTAATTATAAAAGGACCTGTATCGTAAACGGAATATAAAATAATTTCATGGTCATATTTTTTGTTGATGTTTTTTGAAGCGTCGAGCTCCATTTTTTGTGGAGATTTTACTAGAATATTAGATTGAATGTTTATTTTATTGTCAAAATCAATTCGATCCCCTTTTTCTGAGATCCAAAACCCTCTATTAACTACCTCATTTATTTCATTCTTAAAATCGTCATTACAGTCTAGTTGTGATAAAAATTCTCTATCCAAAATGGATGGAATATTATTAATTTGGGACAAGTTAACTAGGCCCTTTACCGCTTCTTGAGTACTAGGAGATCTAATAATTAAATCGTTCACTGCCTGCCTGTAATAATTTAATGTTCCTCCCGGATCTCCGGGGGGAGAGCCATGACCACTCATGGTCACGGCCTAATTGGATATTGTATCTCAATTAAAATTTTAATACCAAAAATGCTAGCTGATATGTATAAGCATAAAAAGGAAACAGTCAGAAAAAGGATGACTTACTTGTATTTAACCTCCAAAACGGAACCTCACTCTTCAACAGCACGTAGATCAATCGAAATGTCTACTACGAGACGGTTCTCAGCGCCTCCAGAACTGCGCTGTTGCCGCTTTTTGGATAAAGAGAATAATACAACGCAAAATTTTAAAAGTTCTTTTTTGCTTCCGCAAAATTTTTAAAATCCGGAACTACTATTTCCGCTACTTCTTCAAATGCTTTGTTCTTTGCATCCCTATTTTTGTAGTTCTCATCATCTGCATACCAGATGCATCTTCGCTGTTCGATGCTATTTATTACAATTTCAGTATCAATGCGTAAACTACTTATTGTGCAACACTGTTTCTGCTGACCGTACGTACCATATAAAATACTCCATATAACTAACAGCCCTTAATAGTCCTGACGGTACGCAGTGCGCACGGGCTGTCCCGATGCCCGTGCCGACGAATCAGTCAACCGATGATACGCAGTGCATGTGAAAAAGTTCATTTAAACAATGGCCCCTAGTCATCAGGACTGACCATCAGGACTGATCGTCAGGACTTTATCAGTCGCATGTGAAACGGCTCTAAGGTTTTTAAACAGAATGCGTGCATTTTGCCTGACTGATGTTCGCGCTATAGAACTTCCATAGATACAGAATATCAGAAGCTTATTTTCCTTTGTAAGGGGGCATCCATCCATCCATTTCGCCCCCTCTCCCTTTGGTGAGATGTCTTGAGATTTTGCTAAAGTACATGCTGCACTCTCGGGTAATGAACGTTTAAAATTTTATACCGAAACACTATTTTTCACGATAAAAATGAAAATTATCAGCAACACACGGTGTCCCTGAACGAAGTTTAGGTCACATAAAAATGACGCCAAAAACTGATTGCAGTTTATTTCTAAAAGCAATATTAAATATTGTCCATTTAATGTAATCTTTAGCGAATAAATAAATGAGATTCTAAAAAAGTGAGGTTAGGCCGCTTTGACGTTGAATTAAATTGACCTATATAAAGTGCTTTGAAGATAAAATGTTGTATGCCATTCGGCCAAGAAGTGCCTTTTTGTGCTTTGCTCAATGGTAGGCCTCCGCTACGCGATATTTACCAAAATCCTAGCTGATCCTCTTTTCGAAATTTTTTGAAAATTCATGATTTTTTTTTAATTTTTGTCTACCTTTGACAGAGTACACATTTGTACACCGACTTTAATAATATTGGAGTATATTGTTAAGGAGATTTGGAGAATACTGTTTATACTGTGCACATCATTTAATATATACAGGGTTAGCCAAAAATTGCTTCTTTTAATAAAGCAAAAGCGTAAATTCATGATTTTGGCATAACACGCAAAAAAGATATATACCCACCCATGTTTTTTTTAGATATTTTTATGTTTATCAGGGTACAAAATGGGATTCTTATCAAGACTTTATAAGAAAAATTGATTTTGAATAAAATTAAATAAAATAAATTTTTTTGGAGATAAATCTGTTTTGTGCATTGTGCTTTTTACTATATAAAAACGTGATTTTTGGCTAACCCTGTATATATTAAATGATGTGCACAGTATAAACAGTATTCTCCAAGTCTCGTTAACAATATACTCCAATATTATAAAAATTGGTGTACAAATGTGTACTCTGTCAAAGGTAAGATAAACAAAAATTAAAAAAAAATTAAGAATTTTCAAAAAAATTCGAAAAGAGGAGCAGCTAGGATTTTGTTAAATATCATTTTAAAGTTACCAAAGGGTCCCGAACAAGAAACTGCAATCAATAAAAATCGGTGTACAAATCTGTACTCTGGCAAAGGTAGACTTTGCGATAAACAAATAATTTAAAAAAAAAATGATTTTTTAACAAATTTAAAGAAAAGCAGTTAGAATTTTGGTAAATACCGTTTTTAAATCTCCAAAGAGTGCCTATCAAAAAACTTTAACCAGTTTTTCGTTCAAAATTGAAAACTTCTAAAAAGCCTAAATTAAACAACATTTTAAATATTCTCTAAGCGTTATTTTATTTAATTTTATTAAAAATCAATTTTTTTAATAAAAGGTTAATAAGAATGCCATTTTGTAACCTAATAAACATAGAAATATCTAAAAAAAATGGGGATACATCTGTTTTGCTTGTTATGCCAAAATCATGAATTTACGCTTTTGCTTTATTAAAATTAAGCGATTTTTGGTCCACCCTGTATATATCAAATGATGCGAACAGTATTAAAAAGTATTCTTTAAGTCTCCTCAATAATATACTCTAATTTTATAAAAATCGGTGTACAAATGTGTACTCTGTGAAAGGTAGACTTTGAAATAAACAAAAATTTAAAAAAAAATCATAAATTTTGAAAAAATTTCGAAAAAAGGATCAGCCAGGATTTTGGTAAATATCATTTTTAATTCACCAAAGGGTCCCGAACAAGAAACTGCTATCAGTTTTTGGCGTCATTTTTATGTGACTTAAACTTCGTTCAGGGACACTGTGACAAACGCGAACGTCTTGACAGTTTTAGCATAAATGCGCTTGCTTAGATGCTCGGAACGTGCGTGGCACACGTTGCTATTTGGGTAGTTGCTCTTTTTGTTGATGTTTCTTCGTGTTTTTCCTTAATGGTAAATTTTTCCAGCAACCTTCGCCGCAATCCACTGAGGACGAGGAGCACCTTCTCGTCGACCACATAAACGAAATTCAAAAGGAAAAAGAGCATCTCACGTCGACGTTGCCAACATTAACGCATGCCACGTCCGACGACGACATGCTGTCGACGGACGACGGTAGTCAGGACGATTTGACGTCTATAGGGGAGGCGAAAAGGGTGCGCGCGCCCGTAGTCAGGTCAGTATCGAGCAGCGAACCGAGGAGCGCAATACCTCCCCCGAGGGTCATGAGGCAACTTTCTTCGGACATAAAAACGGTGGCCGTAGAGGACGTGGAAGATCCCATCATGGTGTAAAAGGTTGCGTGGACAAGGGTTAAGGTTGGTGTTGTTGGAATGAGAGATTTAAGGGTTCGAAAAAAAACGAGAAAAATTGGAAAAAAGCGTTTATTTCTGGACCATTGAAAAATTATCGAATCAAAACTGGGAAACTGAAAATATTATAATATAATCATGATATCCTCAATGATCCTGCAAAATGTCGTATGAGGCTTTTGTGTGTAACTTTTCAAATATAAACGTTAGTCATCTAAAAACCTAGAAGGATGAAGAAATAGAAAAATTTGGTACAAAACAATTTTCATTTCTAGGTTTTTAGAAAAGTACATATAGGCCAGTAAAAGGGTAAAAATTTTCAGAGCGTAAATTAAATAATATGTATACTGGTTTTCGGATTGATCTGCGACGCTATAACAACTTGAATAAACACCTAACGTTTTGAACCGTTTGTCCACACAGAGGACAACAAACTTTTAAAATATAGCGTATTTTACGAGCTACATTTTTTATACAACTTATTTTTCTCACTGATGCGTTGTTGCATAAATATATGCAAAACAATTTTTTTTCAAGATGGCGCGGGGGTAGTTCGGATCAATCCGAAAACCAGAATATATACTATTTAATGTATGCTCTTTTGATTAAAATAATAAAATTTTAACCGGTATAAAAGTATTTGGTCAACATAGGCTTTTATTGGCCTAATAGTACTTAACGGTTTTTTGTCCTCTTGAAAAGTTACATACAAAAGTACAGTTCTAACAACAATATATTTTGAATATAGTCGCGCCAATTCGTCAGTATCGTAAAATGCATTTTATCATCTAAATAATTAAAATTGAAAATATTTCAACTACTAAAGTTTAATACTCTAAAGCATGCTTGGGAATTAAAACACTTTTTTCTAGTTTATAAAATTTTGATAATTTTTCAAAACCGTTTTTTCGAAAATTTTAAATCTCTACTTGAAATTCATATTTTCCAAAAATGCCATTAAAAACCCAAAGTTTAAATAAAGTACTATTGTGGTCAATGATTTCACGAATGTTGTGGATCCGTTTATAGTGTAAACTATGTGTAAATAAGATTTGTAATTGTACATAACTGAACCTTGTTATTTTATGTAAGAATATATATTTTTTAAATTATTGTGTGATAATACCCGCTAGTTGGACTGTTAATTCTAACGGTGTTACAGTTTATGTAACTGAAGAAACTACAAAGCTGAGATTTAACAACTTTAAGCGGTAAAAATATATTCCGTACAACATAGGTAGACATTTTAAAATAAAAAGGGCTGTGCCAAAAAGTATTTTTATTGGTTTAATAAACTTGTAAACACTTGGTTTTCCAGTCCAATCAGCCTTCCACCCACACCTAAGAACTATTCTTATTGTTTTTCTGTATGTATTTTGCTTTACATAAACCAACTCCAAATGATATGAATATATTTATGTGAAAAGGTCATGACAGTGTAATTTATAAACAAAAAAGTGTGTTTTAATTAAATAGTTAAACTAAATGATGAGTTTAGGCTATCAATCAAGTTACAACATGATGTATTGGTATACCGTGTTTCTGCATTATTACTTGTTTTAACTTGATGTGATGCTTATGCATACGCTTATATCGATAATAAACTCATCCTAAAACATAATAGCTGTCTGTATGTTAATTCCTGAATGGTTGTATTTTAGCCAAGAAAACTGGATATTTATAGGAATCCTTATGCAATATAAAATAATTAATATTGAGAAGCGCAGAGGAAAAATTAAACAAACCTGATAAATTAAAACTCATTGCTAGTATAACAAAGATGTGACGTGATTAATTATGGTATTAAATACAAATTGTGTTTAATTTTACTTATATGCTTCTCAAAAGTTCATATAATTATTTTAAAGAACTTTAGTAAGGGTTGAGTGATATTAACTGATGGATTTTTAATAACAATACAATATATTTTATATGGAATGCAAGTGAGAAAAGTATTGTATTTTTAGAATACATCCGAATTACACAATGTCTAAACTAATACACCAATATTTTTATACAAATAACCAACTTTATTTTTCATATACATAGAGATATGTAATTGATTTTTTTTTGTTAAACATATTGTGGTTCCTATTAAAAAAAAACTAATTCATCAGTTTCTATCAGTTGTATCAATTTGGGAATCAAATACTTTTTTCTTGACTATTTGGGACTGTAAATTGTTATACTAGGCAGGGTAACTATTTACCAATAGAAAAAATGTTATAATATTTCTACGTTCTAGTATTAGAATAAAATATGTAACTAAAAGCGCTTAAATTGACTATTGTCTAATATTTGTTGTTTCTCTAAATTCATTATATTGTCTGGTGCAATATAATATGTTTAGTTTTTATTTATAAATATATAAATAAATTTTTACAGAGTCAGTATTTGAACCTTGTCAAACACAGTCTTGAATTGGGAATATATCGTTATATTTTAAATGGATTGACGACATTAAGAAATTTATAAGTAGTTAATTAATATTATACGTAAATCTCTAAATGTTAAATTTTGAGTCGGGATCGTGTTTGGCGCTGACAAGGAATGAGTATTTTTTAATTTCCGAGGCGAATGAATGATATAAATATGTATATGTGTGATTTCCCTATTAAATAAAGTAAGCGACATTGTTACAAGTTACAAAAAGAGTGGAGTGTTTCACATTATCTTTTCGTGATAATTATAGTTTTATTTTCGTATATATTACAGAATATATAGTATTTTATTTAATACCAGAACTTTTTGGTTTTTTAAATACTCCTGATTTGTATTGGAACTCTGATCAAAATCCTCTAAAAATTAAAAACAAAGCAATATTAATTGATACTAATTAAAGTATCGCTATTATGTTTAAATTATTTGACCATGTAAAGTGCAATTTTTAATCGGAATTATTTAAGAATTGTATGTTTTCTACTTTATATTTAAGTATTTTGCATTTTATATCATATCATTGTTACTATATGTTACATATTTATAATATACTTTTAATATAACATTACTGTCGCCATTTTATTTAATTTTTGATTCTCTCTAATTAATTAAACAACTCTCTGTCATGTCATAAAACCATTATTACATAATATTAGATGAGACCGCAAAGCATTAGTTTTTTAATGCAGTTAGTTATCATAATCATCATTTATACTTTATTAAATTATTTTTAACCCTGCATATTTAATTATCTTAGGTAAAATAATTTATAATTTACTAACAGTTTAATTTGATCAATTTCATTTTTTTATAACTAAATAGCTTTTTGTTTACTTATTTATTGCCATTCCAATTTTTTCATTAAATACGCTCAACTGACGGCATTCCTTTCTCAATTTTTGTTTTTTCATTTTGTTCTTAATTACGAGTTACCGATGGGTTTCTCGTGAGGCTAACTAGTAAGCGAGACGCACATGAACTGATTTATCAAAAACATTGCCAATATTTTATGGGAATTTATAAAACGACTGATTATGTTTGTGTGGTAAATATTGGTTATATCTTATTATAGATAAAACGTCCTGGCAAATTTAATTAGGTACAATAAAAATTTTCGTTTTACAACCAAAGATGCAACACTAAATTTTTAACCATAAACCAAATGTTATGACAAAATTGTTTATATCATACCTAAAATAAAAAAAACAGTCAAACCATACAATTGTCTTTTATTTTTGAGAAGTAAGTAATGTTAACATTTATTGTCTGATTATTATACATGCATTCATTTAAGATGGCGTCAGGTCAAGTAACATGTCTTAAATGTGCTAAAACTGTTAAGTGAAGAACACTTCCCAGCAAACCAAATCATGTCACAGTGATATAACATTTACATAAAAATTGTTCCTTACTATGCAACAACTATGTCACCTATATGTAATGGCAATGCTCCTATGTCCGCCTCAAGACTCCTTCCTGGGTATGTAACTGTGATGTAACAATGTTTTATCATAGTTATGTACCTGTAATGGTACAGCGCCATATCATATTATGTAAACGTGATAAAACAATTATATTCTATTTACATAAATCTTGCATTCTATTTACTTATTATTTATGCAATATTTACTTACTATCTATATATAATTTATGCAATATTTACATATTATTTATGAAATATTTATAAATATAATTTCATGTAATATATTATCTTACTGGTATTAAAAATTGCTTAGCACTAACTTGGTATTATGGCAAATTTTTTGAAAAAAAATCAACAAAATTTTAAAATTGCCATACTACCAAATTAGAACTAAGAAATTGTTAATGCCATTTAGATAATATATTAAATAAATTATAAATAAATATTACATAAATAATAAGTAAAAATTGCAGAAATAAATGATTCTGAAAGAGATAAAAAAAACACAAATTGGTTAAAAATGTTTATTAAAAAATATTTTAATTAAAAAAAAACAAATCATTTCTTCTTTCCAAAGGGGCCAAATAAATCTAAAAACAAACATTTTAAAATATGAAAAAATAACTTTAATTTTAATTTTACAAACGAAAAGTTTTTCAATTTTTCCAAACTTTAACAAAAAAACTCAAAGACATTAATACTTCAAAGCTAAAAAATATATGGTAAAAAAAGAGAAAGCAATCTCAGGAATTTAATATTAATATACCTTCTTTTCATGGGTTTTTTGTTTCCCTCACAAATCTTTGTTTGGGCTGCCGGAACCATTCGGTAACTATGTTTTCAAAATTTTTGTCTGTTGAAGCTTAAAAAAAATATTTAATAAAAAAAGCCATAAAACTTACATTTTTACCCTTCAATATTTCTACAAATTTTAAATTTTGTATTTTTATGTTGTTTCTTAGGCCTAGCCAAGAGCAATCTTTTGCCAGATTATTAGAGAAGATTTTTTTTAAACTCTTACTGTAGAATTTTTTTCGGAGACGCCTTCATTTTTATATACTGAAACTTAAAAAAAATACCATTTAATATTATTTTTGTTTATTGATTTGTTTTCAAAACAAATAACAACTATTCTTTATGTAGTTTTGTAAATGATATTTGGTACAAATAATAATTTGTTTGATTCTATTAATTCAAGTCAAATGCATAAAATTAATTGTCACAACAATTATAAGTCGTTTTTTCGCGTAAATACCATGAAATACTATGGTCATTAAACTTAACCTTGGTTAATAGTTAAGGCATTTTTGCGTTTAGAGTGCGTTCAAAAATCCTAACTATGACGTCACAAATACCAGACCATAAAACTATATCGCTGAGCTAGTTATTCAACGTGGTTAATAGTCTTTCTCTTTTTAATATAATATATATTATATATTATATATATTATATATTTAAAATGTTTATGTAGGAATAATGTTGTGTGCTAAATATATCTTCTCCAAAACATACCGCCAACCTTCGTCTTTTTCTTTGGGGTTCCATTCTAAATTTTGAGTTTCACAATAATAATTTTCGTACCTATAAACGTTAAACACTGTTGGATTTTAATTATGGTAAACAACAGTGAAGAACTGTTTATATATAAAAAGAGGTATAGAAAAGGTAGGTATAAGAACTAGGGTTCATAGAAAAAGAATATACAAGGTAAAAGAAGAGGCAAAGAAATTTATTTACACCTGTAAAAGCATAGAAATTAAATATAAATAGGTTAAAACACATTTTAAAAATTATAGGTTATGAACAAGTAAACAAATGTCAAATGTTAGAAACCTAACCATGGTTATATGAATTAACTGTGACGTCATGACTTATTTAACCGTAGTATTTCATAGTATTTACGCGAAAAAACGACTATAATAAAAAAGTGTATCCATCTTATTTAGCAAAATTATTGTATCCTTTACCAGTTGAAAAAACAGTATAAAGTTAAAAATATATTTAAAAATACGATAACTTTTAAGCCTTGGTAAGATAAATCCATTTCCAAAACTTGGCAACACTTATGGTATATACCATGGCAACACTGTTATAAAGGGTGTTTTTTTAAGAATGATAGAACTTCAGATCGTAATTGCTTTGGAATCATACGTCATTTTGCGCGATATTAGTTGAATAGGTCAATGCAGAAACTGAATATGTCCACTTTTTAGGGAAATTGAGTTAAACATGGATTTACTATAAGTAAAGGGTGCCCAATCGAATGGCGTAGAAATTTCACATGTCACGGTAATCTAGATTATACAAAGGCGTTAATATAGTACAGAAACTGAATATGTCCAGGACATGTCCACTTTCTGCGCTATATGTATAAATCGTATGCGCGATTAGAAACAGCTGCTTTTTTAATTTTTTAGCCGTTGTAATTAGTACACTCGGTTTCACGGAAATCGACTACAAGTAAAAAGTCAAGTGTTGAAATTCATCAAAAGCAAGGATTAAAATCATGTCTGCACATTTCTGCAAGACTACATTAAAAATAACATTTCCGACAAAGTAAAAGAACTTTACCTATTCAGCGACAACTGCAGCGGTCAGAACAAGAATCATACACTGATAAGATTCCTATCAGCACTTTCTGATTCCGGTAGATTCAGTAAACATATGACATATGACATATGTCACATTGAAATTCATCAAAAGCAAGGATTAAAATCATGTCTGCACATTTCTGCAAGACTACATTAAAAATAACATTTCCGACAAAGTAAAAGAACTTTACCTATTCAGCGACAACTGCAGCGGTCAGAACAAGAATCATACACTGATAAGATTTCTATCAGCACTTTCTGATTCCGGTAGATTCAGTAAAATAGTTTTTTCTTTACCAATACGAGGTCACTCCTTCCTACCATGCGACCGCGATTTCGGGCAAATTAAGCGGATTATACGCAGAGCTGACCGCGTTTATTTTTCTGAGGAATATGCTCTAATGATGAAAAAATCAAGTAACAAGCGAGATAAATTCGAAATTTAAATGGTAGAAACAAGGGACATAAAGGATTTTAAAACATGGTGGCCACGAAATTGGAAAAAAATTGTAACATCCGTTGAAAGTGCAAACTGAATAGGAAGAGATAAACAAAGTTTTAATATATCAAACTTTTATCAATTTGAATTTAAAACTGAAATGCAAGGTTCTATAATAACAAGAGATTTTATTGAACAGTGCACTGTTATGCACACATGTACACATTTCGATTACGACTGAGCAAAACACCAGTTCCCTTACCATCTAAATTTGCCTATAATAGTAAAATACCAATAAGTAAGAAGAAAATGAAGAATATCCAGAGCGTTTTTTAGTATATTGATGAAGAACATGAAGAATTTTATCAGGATACCTTACAGTGGCCTACGAAAGAAAAAGAGGAAGAAGAGGGTGAAGTAGAAATAGAAAATGTTTAAAAAATGTTATGAGATTATTATTGAATTTGTTTTATTTTTATATTAGGAATAAGTTATGTTTATTTTCTACTAGATAATAAAACGGTTTATTACATATTTTATAAATTTTATTAGCAATCAATGCAGAAACAATATATATCCACAACCTGTGTGATTTTTTTTTCTCTAAGAATGAAAACTTTAAATACTCCAAATCATGTCTTCGTACCTACAAAATAGTTTACTTTCATATCCAAAATATTTTTAGATATTTATTAAATCAACGCTAAGTTATTCAGTTTTTCTTATTTATCTCAAAACTAGGTAGGTAGGACATATTCAGTTTCTGCATTGATGTATTCAGTTATATTTGTATTTAGTATAGTGTGGCAAATCATTATGAATAGACTCACGCTGGAACAAAGTTATCAAATTATCAAAATTTACTTTGAAAGTCATTCCTCAATTCGCGAAACACATAGACGACTTCGTGAATTTTACGGTGCACATAATCGTCCATCTGAGCAAGCCATCCGTCGCACTGTGGATAGATTTAGAACCACACTCTCTCTAAAGGATGTAAAAACAGCATTATGTCAAAAGAATGTGCGTACTGAAGAAAATATTGCTGCGGTAAACGAAAGTGTGCAAGAAAATTCTAAATTATCGATTCGCCGTCGATCGCAGCAGTTGGGGCTTTGTCCGTCCACCACGTGGAAAATTTTGCGCAAAGATCTTGGGCTACACCCATATAAGATCCAGCTGGTGCAGGAATTGAAGCCACAAGACCATCGTTTGCGTCGTTCTTTCACTGATTGGGCTTTAGAGCAGTTGCAAGCTGACCCATTGTTTTATTGCAAAAATGTGTTCAGCGATGAGGCACATTTTTGGCTCAATGGGTTTGTTAATAAACATAATTGCCGGATATGGAGTGATGCAAATCCAGAAGAGATCCTACAGACCCCATTGCATTCAGAAGAATGTACAGTTTGGTGCGGTTTACACGCTGGTGGCTTGATTGGACCTTATTTCTTTAAAAATAAGGCTGGACTTAACGTAACGGTCAATGGGGAACGATACCGGACCATGATAAAAGAATATTTCTTTTAAAATATGGATGGCATTGATCCGGACGAGATGTAGATGCAGCAGGATGGCGCTACGTGCCATCCCAGTAAGCACAAGATAGACGGGCCGCTTAAGGACCGAATACGTTTGGCCGAATTGGCCGCGTTCGGGCCGCTACACGGTACAAAGCCGGCATGTACACCGGGCATGTCCGCCCGGCCGCCTGGACGTCTTTGAGAGCTCGGCCGCCTGGTCGGCTGCGAGGGCTCGGCCGAGTGTCGGCCACCACCGTGTGGCCGGGTGACGGCCATCACCGTGTGGCCGGGTGACGGCCATAACTGTCTGGCCGAATGCCGGGCATGTACGCCCGGCCGAATGTCGGTTAATAGACGGCCACACGAAGCTGCAATAGATAAAAT